CTGATGGACCTCAGCCTCCTGCCAGATGGAAGGGGCACAAACAGGTTTTGTCCGGGGTGGGAGGGGTCGGCTACGATCTTTTTAGCTCGCTTCGGAGACCTGGAAGCGAACAAGTCCTACAGGGACGGCAGATTGCAGCCGATCACCCTCTCTGCAGAGCGGATGACACGCTGCAGCCTGCCCTTGTCCTTGGCTGTGGCTGCAGCGTACCAGACGGTGATGGAGGAGCAGAGGATGGACTCGATGATGGCCGTGTAGAAGTGGACCATCATCGTCTTTGGTTGAATTTCTTCAGCTGCCTCAGGAAGAACAATCTCTGCTGAGCCTTCTTTGTGATGGAGCTGATATTCAGCTCCCACTTGAGGTCCTGGGTGATGATGGAGCCCAGGAAACGGAAGGAATCCACAATAGTGACGGGGGAGTCACACAGGGTGATGGGGGAGAGTGGGGCTCTGTTCCGCCAGAAATCCACAACCATCTCCACTGTCTTTAGTGCGTTGAGCTCCAGGTTGTTCTGGCTGCACCACGACACCAGATGGTCAGACTCCCACCTGTAGGCGGACTCGTCCCCACCAGAGATCAGTCCAATGAGGGTGGTGTCATCCGCAAACTTCAGGAGCTTAACGGACTGGTGACTGGAGGTGCAGCTGTTTATGTACAGGGAGAAGAGCAGAGGGGAAATAACGCAGCCTTGGGGGGGAGCCGGTGCTGATGGTCCGAGAGGCTGAGACCTGTTTCCCCAGCTTCACGTGCTGCTTCCTGTCAGACAGGAAGTCTGTGATCCACTTGCAGGTGGAGTCGGGCACGTGCAGCTGGGAGAGTTTGTCCTGCAGCAGAGACGGGATGATGGTGTTCGGTCGGTGAGCGACTTCAGGTGGGTCAGGACTAGCCGTTCAAAAGACTTTCAAAGGAGTCTTTTGATATCTTGAGACAGGACACCGAAGGAATGGCTTCTTTAAATGAGGCTACATCGGTTTCTGATAAGCATCGACTGTAGAAACCCTTGGCAGGAGGAGGAGATTCCGATAGGAGAAATTCAAAGGTTCAGATCAGATGGTCTGACAAGAGAGGATCCTGTGGAAAGATTGTTAAATGTTACCAATACCAGTTCAATACCATACACAAGAACCAAGATGAGGGTGTGGTTAAAACAATGAGTTGGTTTGTTTACGCTCGGACAGAAACCAATTGAATCCAACAATGAAAGAAATGAAGTACCAAGGTGTGGTTATCGACATCCACATGGGCGTTAAAATCACCCATGTCCATATTAAGGACTAAACTCGTTAAGAACTATAAAAGGGTTGATGTGGCGCAGGGGTAGAGAGGGTGCGCTGGGAACCGCAAGGTCTGCTCCATGTCCCATGTCGAAGTGTCCCTGAGCAAGACACCTAACCCCTTGTTGCTTGCCTCATGAAAAGCCATGGGTTAAACATGCAATGTAAGTCGCTTTGGACAAAAGTGTCAGCTAAATTACCTGTATTGTATTATTGTATAAATTCTGAATAAGGACGTGAGCACTATTTCAAAGACAACCGGCTGGATTATTTTCCAGGTTGGTTGCGAAAGACTGAGAACCAGGCTTTCAAATGAGTTATAATCCAGTTTGTATTTAAGGATTATTTAAAAAGGCAGAGTCATAAATAGCTGCCCCCTCTCGGGCCTGTGCCTTGAGGAATATGAGTATCAACATGACTTGAAGGAGTTGCTTCATTTAAGATGAAATATTCCCCATTCGATAGCGTTTACGTTTCAGCAAGACATAATATATCAACATGGTGATCTGATATTAGTTAATTTACTAAAACAGCTAATATTACAAAGTCCTCTTTTAATCCTCCTATTGTGTTGCACTGTTGCATTATTGGTTTTAACTTTGATTAAGTTATTTACTATAACTTAACTACCTTTGATTTAAATAACTGTCCATGGGGCAGACACTCACGGTTTGGGTTTATTTCCTGTTTTACTTTGTAGTTTCCTGCCTCTTGTCTCCCTGGGTTAACTTCACTTCCTGCCTTGTCCTGTCACCCCTGTGATTGTCTGCCGTGTCTCTGATTGTTTCCACCTGTGTCCAATCACCTGTACCTTCCCAGTGTAAATGACAGTGTAAATGACCATCTAATGATCAAACCGCCAACCTTGCAACCCTCTCTAAATACTAGGCCAAATACTAATACTAATAATAGTTTTTTTTTGAGAGAGTATTTCACCTGCTTTAGGCAACACCCTTTCACAGGGCACAAATGGGCTTGAATAGTTTGTAAAGAAACACGCAATGAAGTCTGAAGTACACAAAATGTAGCCGGTTACTCATTGCGTTTCGCTGCCCCTTTTATTCCGAATCGCGCGCCACACCATGAACCGTTTCCTCAATCAGTCACGTGGTGCGGCGGCTTCGAACGTCACCACATATGCCATCAACACAAGCCTTGATACGCGCTTCATGAAAATCTTCCTGGATTACTCGACACGAGCTTCGAAGCCTCGACATGAACGTCACTACTTGTTCCTGGTCCGTGTCTGCATTTTTCCCAGCTGGTGTTTTGGGGGATTTTATAAAGTAGTTTTTGTCCTGCCTCTGCCTACCCCGTTCGTGACAGACACGGCCCCTATATGGTTAATTATGGTTTGGGTAAATGGCCTGTACTTGTATAGCGCTTTTCTAGTCTTCTGACCACTCAAAGCTCTTTAACACTACATGACATCATTCACCCATTCACACCCATTCATACACTGATGACAGGAGAACCATACACAGTGACACCTGCCATCAGTAACTACCATTCACACACTGTAGTCGCAGCTACAGGAGCAATGTTAGGTTAAGTGTCTTAAATAAAGTGTCTGCCCAAGGACACAACGACATGCAGGTTAGCCGGGCCTGGGATCGAACCGACAACCCTCTGATTGGAGGACGACCGTGCTCCCCACTCACCCACAGTCGCCCACGTGTGAGTGACTGCTCGGATGGAAGTGCAGAGATGTGTGTAAGACTGCAACTCTGCTTCCTGGCCTGAACTCTGGGTCATGGATTGCACAGAAAATCGGAAAAGAATAAAAATAAAGGTTCTGAATCAAATTTTATTATTATTGTCCTGTATTTCCTTGGTGCTCAGTAGACAACAGGGCAAGGCAGTTCCTATACCTCAGTTCAGTTACAGGTGGCATCAACAGAAACTTACATCCAACACATGTGAACCAACTTGTTGTTACACTACACATCCATAAGATGAGACATCTTATTAGTATGAGACACTTCGGCTCAATTCTTTCCCATGGCCACACCATCACAGCACTTGCAATTTCTAAACTGTTCGTACAACGAAACATTATAGCCTACAGAGCTTGACATTAACATTTTGTGCTCACCAACCACTGTGGCTAGTGGTTTTCCAAAGTTACTAGCCACTCAGCGATTTCATTGGCCACAATTTTTGTTGTTGGGAAATTGAGTTGACGTTGACTACAGTTTGTTACAATTTCCTGGAGCTTTACCAAGTGTGTAAAGCTCCTTTTGTATGAACACATGTGCAACTGCTAGACGAAGACAAAAAGAGTACCTTATTGTGGAACACCCTCAAAGATTGAGCGTTGGATTTGTCTTGAACCACATTCATTTATTCATTGAAGGTTACTGTAAAACATGCAAAATACATCGTCAGGACAACAGCGCAAAACATATGTCTCTCTCCTGCTGAGAAGTGGATTAATCCACTTATCTCTATGCATTTCCCAGGATATCGGACTGTAAAACAAGACCTCCTCTGTGGTCACGTGACCAAACACCGAGGGAAATAGAATTTAGGCTAATCTTAATTGAACATCTGCTAGTTAGCTAACATACAGATCACCTACATTTATCAACTTTTTCATCAAAGCTCACATTCTACAACACATGACCTATTCTTTTAGCTTCGTACACACTAATTACCACTGATACCAGGCAGGTCCACAAGTATCTCTGCTGGCCGACCGTCTGCCGAAGAGCCCTGAGCTGTTAAACGGGTCTTGATCTCCACGCACGTCTTCAACAGGCAGCGCTTCACTCTCTGAGGCGGATACAGCCTGCCAGCTAAACTGAGACAGCTAAGCTAAACTAAGGAAGTGCACACTCGTTGCGCTCCGTAGTTGGTTTACATCAACCACCGCTGCCACCGATGTAACCGAGCATTCTGGTTTCGTGGATGATGCGGGCATGACACACGCCTTCACCCTTCAACCACCCTTTTGCCTCTACGGCAACACAGGAGGGACATACTAGCTCAAACGCAAAACCATCCCAAAAGTAGAACTGCACAGGCCAAAGTGGCTAGTACGAGTGAGTGCTTTGCCAATGTCAAGCCCTGGTAACATATATTTTTGCCGTTACACTAACCATAAGATTATTAATGTTTACATAATAATACTAATGGCCTAACCTGAATGAACTTGAACCCTAAACATGATCTTTACCGTATGCCACAAGTGTCAAACTCAAGGCCAAAACCAGCCCGCCGGGGGGGTCTGGTATGGGCCGCCGGATGACTTTGCTATTGTGAGAATTACAGAAAGACATAAATTGCATTTCTATAAAAGTAGCTGCTGTTCCTAAAACGTCCACTGGTCGGGTCGCCCTCTGTGAGTGAGCATATGCGCTAGACCAGGGGGACCAGGTCGTTCACCCACGCAGTGCCGGTAGATCACCTGCCATTGAAGAAGAAAAAATCACATCAGATCACCACGCATGTGACTGACGAGAAGCTCGTTGTGTTTTTGTTTTTTATATCTATTCGTTTTTTGCTCCCAGTATGCAGCGCTGTTGTTCCGTTTGGTTACCGCTACTGCTCGTAATTATTATTATCTGGGCGAACTGCCCGAGCGGGAGGGAGGTAAATCGCCATTAGTTGGTATGAAAAGTTGAATGAAAAGTAGCTTGCGAGCAGAAACCAAACTTTTCAATAACTCAATTTTGTGTCATGTTTGAACAATAATACTGACTCTCTGGTTGTTTCTCGCAGATCTCCAAAGAGGTGCTGTCCAGCAGTCACAGTCCGGTCCACACCCTGAACCTGCAGGGCATCATGTCCCCACCCACGGCCCGCTCCGTGCCCTCGTCTCCCAGCAGGGTGGCGTACGTTGGTGGGAGTTCAGGGATGGTGGATTTAGGCAGCGCCACATTACCACGGGAACGCCTGTGGCGGGTGGGCCGTTCCAGCTCCTTCTGCACCAGCAGTAGTACTATACTGGAGAGGAGAGACGTGAAGCCTGGTGAGGAACCTGCTGGGATAACCTGTTGGACTCCTTGAATCCCTCTCTTGGGACGGACAGATTACAATGGATGTCATGTGTACAGAATGAACAACTTAAAAGATGTACAATACGTTTAATTCATACAACAGAAATTAGTAAGCCAGGTGTTTAGCAGGACCACTGCAGGGAGAAGATTCTTTCGCCTAGGTTTGGGAGGGGAGGGGTGGTAGTAGTAATCATCTTGAGAGTAGTAGGCGAACGACTGGTTAGGGTGGGCGCCCCCCTTGTTTGATGGTAGGGGAAACACTGAGATATACAGTAACTACATAGAACCACAATAAGAGAACCACCACCCGATGTAACCACCCCAGTTAATAAATCAACAACATCTTTTCACAGCGTAGTCCATCACTTACCAGACTTTGTTTCCTTCACGGATGATACAGATCTGGATTCTGACTGCTGTTCTTATGTGGAATGTCTGACATTATATGTTTTGTATGTGTGTGTGTGTGTGTGTGTGTATCAGATGACATGGCTCTGGTGATGTGTGGTGAAGGAGGACCACATTACCCAGGCTCCTACAGCTCCTCGCTAAAGGACAGAGGAGGAGGTTGCCGGAGCATGGCTTCCTCTCGGTATAGCTCTCCTCCGTCTTTCACTGCAGACATGGTGAACGCTGGGGCCACAGGGATCCCAGGGGGGCTGCAGCAATACCGGGCCTCCATTAAACCCCTGATGGGCTATGGAGAACTCCTGGAGCAGCAGACCCCCTTCCTCCACAGGTACACACACTTATTTTCACCCAATGCAGACACATCACAGTGTTTGTCTTGGAAATCATAAAATCCTAACCTTGTCCGGCTGAAGTGGTTCTCATTTAGTATTTGGCAGAGATGAGGAAGTGAGAGGTTGAGAGAGGTCATAAACCGACTTCAGCCTACTGCGAAGCAACCACGGCATACAGTAACTTCCTTTCTCTTCCAGATCCACAAGGGTTTGCCTAAAATGACCTTTCCTTTTTCAGAGGCGGATGAAATATGGATGAAACCAATATCGTGCTATCTGTAGCATGTCATTTATCAAATATACTGTTAACACAGTGTTTCCAATGTTGGTTAATATAGCAACATCTGTTACGTTGAAAAATAGTTTAATACTAGACCAAATTGAGCAGCTACTTTGGCCGAGAACCGTATTAGAGCAGCTGGTGTATCTGTTTACCGATCAGTAAACAAAGTCTGTCAATGATAATCAAAACTGTTATCTGATTTCTGCACACACAAACACCATGGGGCGTTGTGGAGTGAAGGTAAGTGAGCTGCTCTTTTTCCAACAGCTCACTGCACCGTTTCTCAAATACAGATTTAACCTGAGTGAGAAATACCTCGTGTTTACTATGACTGCTTCACAATAAAAGTCTGAAAAAAAGTAATTTTATGTGCAGCTAAATCAGTCGTATCAGTACGAAAAATCCAGCTTTGATACAACTGTAGGAGCGCGGACTGTGAGGCTCGTATCAATCACCTTAATTCATAAACGGTTAAAGTGAATTACTCGCTACATTTTAACTCAATCCCTTGCTTGTTGGAAGACAATCTGAATGATTAAAATCACTCTTTTCGGAAGGTCTAGGACTGTTGTAAATTTTGAACTTTTCCTATTCTTCTTTTTGTTGACTTAAGAGGATTTAGCATTTTTGTTCTATTCAATTCAATTAAATTTCAATTCAATTCAATTCATTTCATTTATTTTGTATAGCCCAAAATTGCAAATTACAAATTTGCCTCAGAGGGCTTTAGAGTCTTTACACATACGACATCCTCTGTCCCAAAACCCACCATCGGCACAGGAAAAACTCCCCAAAAAATGAAAAGACCCTTCCAAGAGGGAAAAAAGGGAAGAAACCTTAGGGAGAACGTCAGAGGAGGGATCCCACTCCCGGGATGGACAGACTACAATGGATGCCATGTGTACAGAATGAACAATGTATAATACATGCAATTCCTATGACAGAAATAATTCAAGTAATTGTGAGTAGTGAGCCAGGCGCACAGCAGGACCACTGCAGGGGCAACCACCATCAGATAGAACCAGCATTATCCCTTTCAATCATTATCTCTTTCAATCAATCAGGTGAACCGCTGCAGAGCTGATATAGTTTAGTCCTAGTCCTGGTAAATACCATGCTAAATATAACAAATGCAGTGATACATCATTTCTCCCAGACAGTTGAGTTAATATTAGTTATTGTCTATCTTGCTGTAAGCAGAGAAGATGAGCTGATTAGTAATTGGATGGATTACAAGATATAACTTTTACCAGTGTTGACACAGCACACTGACCATTTAACCAGCTGTTTTCCACCATCCAGGCAGAATAGCAGAACATATGAAGATAGCCAACGTCCTCCACTTGGAACCAAAATACCACCCACTTCCCCTCACAGAGTCAATGAAGTCAGGATGACTGAGGGACAGATTGTTGGGAACCTGGCGTCTTCTGAGAGGATGTCCCCTATTCGCCGGTCCCTGCGGCGGGACACTAATGGGGCCACAGTGGAGATCTTAAACAGAGGCAGAGGAAGTGGCTCTTCATCCTCTACCTCATCTGTCTTTCTGGACAGTCCAATGGGACAACCTGAGAGACTTGAAGGCCATGTAACTGCCCAGAGGTGAGCGGAAAGCAGTGTCATTTCAAGTGAGCACTTACGAGGTGTATACACAGTACTATCCCACTGAGTCCTCCTGGACTGCCAAGTCCAAGCTTTCCAATTAAATGCAGCGGGCAAGAGCATAGTAAAATATAAAAATTTAAATGAATTAGAAGGTTGTGATCATTATTATTATTATTAATTCTAAACATTTGTCAGTGAAAAAGATACATTTTTAAATTATTAGCAAAAAAAAAATCTGTAATCAACTTGAGAGATATACCACGCAGTGATGTGATCCATCATATATTGTGTATTAGCATTGCAAGTAGCTGGCATTACAGAACTGAATATGAAACACCTTACATGTTCATGATTAAAAGTGATCGATGCAGCACATTTGTTTCCATTTTGCAGTGAGAGGATGAAAGCCATAGAAGAGCAGATAGCCAGTCTAGCAAGTCTGGTGCACAATGCTCTGTCTATCGGACCAGATGTTCCAGGAGTCAAGAATAATATCAGGTCTGCTCCATCTGCCTTCATCCCTTTAAGCCAAAAGCAGCACGTCCAATAAATTTGTATTGATCCACCAAATATGCCTGACAATGGTCCTTAGAGTAGTTTATTACAGTGGTTACAACCTCCCCTCCTGTTGGCCAGTTATTTCGTTGTCTCTATCCAACACACCTTCAAGACCAGTCCAAAATATTTTCTAACATGACACCGGTCCGCGAGGCAAAAAAGGTTGGGGACCACTGGTTTATAAGATCCAGGAACCAGGAAGGAATTCTTAGTAATGATACTACTAAGTTTGGAATATTTTAGGCACTTAGTGAAATGATTATGTGTGTAAACTCATACCAGACCAATAGTCATTTTTATTATGTAACTCTGCCTGTCTGTCTTTTCAGTGACATAACTGAATGCATGCTCTCCGACAACAGAGCCGGTGAGATATTTTCTGACTATAACCAATGGGGACATTACCTATGCTCTAAATATAATTACCTTTCTTTGACCTTTAGGAGTATCAGCTGAACCTCGGGTCCCAGCTGCTGTGATTGAGAGCTCCCGCCCCGCCCCTCTGATGTTCCAGGCTCCTCCCTCTGACAACGGGCTGCAGCAGAGCTTGGTGTTAGCGAAGAGAAATGTGTTGGATCTGCGGTTACAACTCAACCACATCAGACACATACAGGTACTTATCTGTGTGGTCAGTGATAACATCAAGTAAACATCATCTAGGTTTCTTCCCTTTTTTCCCCAAGTTTTTACAAAGATTTTTGGAGGAGTTTTTCGGGAGAGAAGATGCTAGATGTGTGCACTGTACTGTCGTGTGAGACAAATCTGTAATTTGCGATTTTGGGCTATACAAAATAAAATAAATTCAATTGAATCATTCAATTCATTCATTATTATGATGATGATGATGATGACCCCTCTGGCCGTCTCTCTACCAGGATGAACAGAGTGCAGCAGAGAAATAATTTAAAATTGTAGTAGACTAGCAATGATAACAAAGAAAGTAACAATGTCAGAAAAATTAATGGGACTACTAATGATAATGGCAGTTGATGTCAGGAGCAGTGGATGCAGGAACAACCACAATCAGATGTAACCACAATTTTGATGCATTCCTGGTATCAGGTGTCCAGTGTTAATTACAGGTACACAGGGGCGGACTAGCCATAGGGGATAGCGGGGAAATCCCCACTGGGCCGACAGGGGGTTGGGCTGGTCCAATACCTGCCCACCTCCATCACCACCCGGCCCTTTCTACAATATAGTTAATACTAATTCTAATCTCTGATTCCAGTGTATTTATTGTCTTTACACTGGTGAGATTCATTTCTTACGGCTCTGTAGATATACATAAAAGCATCTGATACTAGCCCAGAGAGAAGAATATTTATCTAGAAAACTATACCTGGAGTGTTACAATAGCCATATCATTTTATTTCACGTGTCCATCCAGGCAAATTGGTGGACCAAAAGTCATTAAAAAAAAGATGTTGCAACTAATCATTTAAAATAATAAGTGTTAGGGTATTTTTCCAAGTAGGCCACTGACTGGTCAAAATGTGCGGTGTATTGTGTGGGCCGGTCTGACAGTAACCCGTAACCCCCAGGCCACTTTTTACCCCCAGTTCGCCCCTGCAGGTACATTTTGGGGCTGGCAGAGTATGTTGGGTCCTGAGCAATCACAATCATCCTCTGTGGACAATGATATCAACACCAGATTTGTTTGCACTACAGTAGTTCATTAGATATCCAAAGTGTTACAGTGACAAACGGTCTTCCCTCAGGCCTCATCACTAGCTAAGTAAAAAAGGTTCTTTGGTTGAATCCTAACTCTCGAGTTGTCCCATGTGTCCCAGCAGTCCCACCAAGCGAGCGTGACTTCTATGCTGCGGATGGCAGGTCAGGAGCTGGTGGTGCAGATGTACAATCGGTTGGCTCAGTCTGAGGAGGCAGTGTACAGACGGAGAGCTGAGATGGAGGAGGAGAGGATCCACTACCTGGCTACAGAGAAGACAATACTCACACAGCTCCGGTGAGCCTTTAAGTTTGATCCTCGGTCTTCCGCTTTGAAGAGAAACTATGAAACTCTTGAGAGAAGATGTAGTCAGACAGGCTCAGGGGTAGAGCCCAGGGGCCTCATTTATAAACGTTGCGTACGCACAAAAGAAGGCGTACGCCGCTCTCTACGCAATAATTGGTATTTATAAAAAGCAAACTTGACGGAAAAATGTGCGGTGCTTCACGCAAGCTCGGACCCATGCGTACGCACAAAAACGGGTAAGTGCAAAGAAACACACAAACGTGTGTGAAAGTGTGTAAAACTAGACTGTTGTGTAAAAGAAATGGCAATACTGCCTCTAATAAATAACACGAACACCCGTTTGATTGATCTGCAGCGTAAAACAAAACAGAAATACAAATTAACACATTTTCAAAAAGAAAAGTGAAATATGTTCTGCAATAATATTGGCATGTTATGCAATTTGTCCTCAAAACACAGCTTGTCAGATATAATCAAATGGACGGTAATAAAATGCCATGATGCCATCACAATGCGTAATGACGCGAAATGGCTGATCTTGCGCTCTTTAGAAGATGTGGCACATGGAAGGATTCGCGCAGTAGTGCAGCGCACCATCGGCCTGTTTAAGGGCAGATGGCGCTTCCTCGACTGCACTGGAGGAAGGTTATTGTCTACTCCTGAAAAGGTGTGCAAAATCGTGCTGGCATGTGCTGTGCTACATAATGTGGCACAGCTTCCAAACGTGCCTCGACCCCCTGACGCCGATGGCTGTGTTGGCCCAGACCCTGTCCCCGATCCCCAATCATTGCCGCCAGTCTCTCATCAAGAGGCGACAGCTCCGGTGTCCCCTTTCCCCCACCCGTGGCAGACACACTTTGGCGATGGCGCGCTAAACGCTCTTTTGCATCCACTTTGATGTCAGACCATTTTTTCTTTATTTCGGCCACGGTCCGAGGTTGTGAGGCTGCAGCGTTGCTCTGCAACCTCGCCAATGATAATTTCGACTTCACACTGAGTGAAGTTACGTTTCTTCGCTTTCCTCTCAGTGTTTGTCATGATTTCGCAATCGATGAATATTAATTTGTGGGCGTTCAACTATGGGCGTGACATGAAGCCGCAAAAGCTGCGGTGCATTTAGAATTGATTGTGATTTATCAAGGGAAATCTGCGTAGGACATGCGTGCACACGGTTTTATAAATCTGAATATTTCTGTGCGTACGCACGTCCTAGGTTTCATCCGTACGCCACTTCTGACGCAAATCCTACGTTTTATAAATGAGGCCCCAGGTGTTTTTCCCAGGTGGCATTGTTCATTAACTAATTCCTATTAGTGGAATGGTGATTAAGCCATTTCAACATGTACACACTCGCTTTGACACATGTCACTTATGATGTCACTGCAGCTGAATATTATTGGGGGCATGCAAGACACGGCCCGGCAACATCTTTTGTCAGAGAGCGAATGTGATGAAACATATTGTAAAAAAGAGCCGGGAGATGGGTGTTATTGTAAATTAATATAATTAACAATGATTTCTGGTTCAAAAAGGACTTACTGGCATAGCTTTTTATTTGTGATTTGTGACTTTGGGGCAATTTCTTGACCTAATGTTTCTTTTATTTAATTATGCAGCTACAAAGCTAAACATTGTGGTATACTTGTTGATATTTGTGCAATAATTTCCAGGAGCGTGCAGACAAATCTTTTACAGAGCTGGGGAACTCTCTTTAATCATTGGTCTATGTGGTCAGTAGATGGATGGGAGTATACAGATATTACCGCAGTGAGTGCTAGCACATACCTTGGCTCCTTATTTAAAAGTGACCTTAGATTATATAATGGTGCATCTGTCACGGCCACCAAACTTTTCAGTTAAGGTGCGTTCACACAACCACAGTGCCAATTATTTGCGCTGCGAGTATGAAAGAATCCTGCTTATATTTTGAGCGCTTCTCTTTAAAACTATTTGAGTTATTTCAAACCTATCTTAAATAAACCACATGCAGTTATAGATCTAACAAATGACCAGGATTTTATTTTTTTCCAGGCCTGGAATTGACCATTTTAAAATTCCATGAATTTTCCATGACCGTATGGGAAATATGTTATAAATGACACTGCACCCAGGGGGAATGTATAGGGAAAGTATATGAATACAATTTGTGTTACACAACCTATTTAAATGCAATTTTTAGGAAGGTCTTCTGCTGTGATATTGAATTTAAACACAGATAAATGTATAATTAAAACCAAAGAAAGGGTATTTATGGTGGTTGTCTAGGCTTTAGATGTGTATCTGCATTCCAAAATGCTGATTACTTACCTAACTAAGTGTGGCATGTCCACAAAGCAAGGGTACTGCTGAAAACCCTCAGCATTAAATCCATGCGCACCATCAACTTGTCCTTGACTATACTGTGAAGGCAAATTACAAAGATATTCATTTTTACATGCAATGATCCTAAACTTCTCTGACACAAACCAAAAACCCCTTCTAAATTTTAGTCTAGACTTCTAAAGCCTATCACATTCTGCTTGCATATTCTTGCAAATCTCTGTGCTATATAGGAACACTATTGCAAGTCTTCAATTGGGCTTCAATTGTAAAACTGCTACAGAAAAAGTATTTTTCAACAAATGGGACATACCAGTATAATAGATGGCCGCCCCCACCCCCACCCCGGCACAGTGGATGATTCCTAAGCTACTGTGTTTATGGCTACCAAACTTTTCAGTTAAGGTGCATTCACACAACCGCTGTGCGAATTATATATTTGCACCGAGTGTACAGCGAAGTATGAGAGCGTCCTGCTCAGATTTTGAGCGTCTCTCTTTAAAACCGTGTGAATTATTTCAAACATATCTTAAATGAACCACATAAACATAGAAATATTACAAATTTCCATGACTTTGACTAAACTTTTTCATAACTTTTCCAGGCCTGGAAATGACTATTTTAAAAATCCATAACTTTTCCAGGTTTTCCATTCCATTCCATTTCCATTCAGATAAATCTAATAATTCTCTCTCCAACAGCTGTGAGGGTTTGATTTGTCCTCAATAATACTTTGAATTTAGTTTCATAATTAGAAATATAAGTAGAATGTGTAACAAGACTAAAAGGCAACTAGCGTTGTTTTAACTACAAGCAAGCCTCAAAATCTTGAAAAATAATGAAAACCAGGTCAAAATATTTCGAGGATGTCTCTACAAGTCACATTTGAATTAAAAAACATCACATAACATCCATATCTTCATTTGAAGCTGCTACTGCCATCTTGTGTCTCACTTATCACTTGAACTTTCTTATCTTTTTCCCATCACAGTGGACTGGAGGACTATGTGGTAGGTTTGCAGCGCAGCTCCACCTCAAGTACCCACCGGCCATCCCTCAGTCTGAGAGACGTGGAGGAGGGAGCAGTGAACCTGCGTAGGGTTGGAGAAGCTCTGGCCGTTCTGCAGGGTTAGTTAGAGTTGTTTAAGACAACACTGAACCATAATCAGGAATCAGGAACATTTATTGCCAGAATATGTTAAACATACAAGGAATTTGACATGGCAGTTGGTGCATAACATTGGATAGTAAGACCATTTAGACAATGGACAACTAGACATATAAGATGCAAGAAAAATGGCATGTTCAATTTACAAATTTACAATTTAACTCTACGGTATAACATAGAAGCCTATGGGCTATGGGATGATAACATTTTTAATAAAAATGAAAAAGGTAAAAAGAAAATTAAATTAGGCAATTAAATAAAAAGAAAGTGCACTGGCGAACAGAACCATACTCTACACAAATGTATTGTGAGTGTATGTGTAAGTGACTAAATGTGTCTCAGTTGGATCATAAAGATTAGATTACGATTGAATGTAAATTCTTTTAACTAATGCTTCAACTAATTGTTGGAAAAAGGGAGGTTTGAAAGGGATGTTGTTCATGTGATGTTTATTCTGCAAAAGAGAAAAAACAGCTGATAACTGTGACAGTTGTGTGTGTTCATTCTTGACAGTATTTTTTAACCAAGCCCAGCATTTATGCACTTGTAGTTGTGCATTTCAAGAAATTAGAAATGACAACATTCTACATTAAACTAAAATCGAATGGTATGATCAGCGAGGGCTCTGATATTTGAATATCTGCTGTAATTATGGACTTTTTAATACTGTATTAAAATCTCACAATTAGGGACAAAAGAACATCACCTGGACATCATATGTATCTGTTTATTTCCTGAGGATTTCTGGATTTTAGGATTCCTTGTCAAATGGTTTTATATGGTGATATGTATAATTAACCAGCATAAAGTTAGAAGTTCCTCCTGTTGTCTCCCAGGTGAGTTACCAGAGCTGCAGGTGAAGATGCGCTCAGTGTTGAGGCTGGAGATGAAAGCAGTGGCTTTCCTGAAAGAGGAGCCTCATAAGATGGACTCCATGCTGAAGAGGGTCAAAGCACTTAGTGAACACCTCGGTTGTCTACACAGGTGCTCATTAACTTCACTCAGGGGTACAACAATTATGTTCAACAGGAAGATCATTCTAATGGGTCTTTGCCCTCGCTGTTATTGACAGATGTGTGTCAGATCAGGAGGCTCTTAAGACTCCGAGCCCCCAGAGCTGCCCCAAGCCCCAGCCTCTATCCGTGGTCAGACCAACTCTTCCCACGCCCTCTCTCTCCAGGAGTCATCCTGGCCTGGCCTCCACCATAGCCGGTGGAATGAACATAGGCGCCCCAGTGATCGACCCTTACCAGCACCCCAGCCCCCCACTGACATCCACTCACGGACCAGACTCACTCACTGTGGCCAAGGTAATGTACTGCCGATTAGTCTATTAGCTGAATGACTACAGATTGACAAAATGTGAGCATGTGTTGGTAAGCAGGTGTTTTTGTAGGGTAGAATTTGAGACCTGATGTTGTGTTGTGAAGCTTCAATTCAACTCAATTAATTTTCTTTTGCATAGCCCAAAATCGCAAATCCGCCTTTACAGGGCTTTACAGTCTGTACACATACGACATCCTCTGTCCCAAAACCCACACATCGGCACAGGAAAAACTCCCCAAAAAATGAAAGAAAAACTTCCAAGAGGGAAAAAAGCGAAGAAACCTTAGGGAGAACATCAGAGGAGGGATCCCACTCCCAGGATGGCCAGACTACAATGGATGCTGTATGTGTACAGAATGAACAATGTGCATCACGTGACAGCTGACCTCGAAGGCGCTCTGGGTCTATCAAGATAACTTCTGTTTTAAGCTTTCCTGAGTTTAGCATCAGGAAGTTGCCGGTCATCCAAGTTTATGTCTCCAAGACATTCTTGAAGTCTAACAAGCTAGTCTGTCTCTTCTGGTTTGATCGACAGATACAGTTGAGTATCATCTGTATAACAATGTAAGTTTATGCGGCGTTTCCTGATAAGGTCACCCAAAGGAAGCATATAGAGGGTAAATAAAATCGGTCCAAGTACACAACCTTGTGGGACTCCGTGACCAACATTGGTGGTCTTCGAGGATTCACCGTTTACAAGCACAAACTGGGATTGATCCGATAAATAGGATTTAAACCAGCTGAGTGCAGTTCCTTTGATACCAATCAAATGTTCTAGTCTCTGCAAAAGGATACAATGGTCTATGGTATCAAATGCGGCACTGAGGTCCATGCAAGTAGAAGATCATTCGTAATTTTCAGCTGTGCTATGATGCACTCGACATCCTGACTGGAAATCGTTGAAGAAAGCATTGTTTTGTAGAAAGTCACATAATTGATTTGCGACGGATTTCTCAAGGATCTGTAGTTAGCTAACACCTCTGGAGCAAGAGTAGGTTTCTTAAGAAGAGGTTTAATTACAGCTACCTTGAAGGACTGTGGTACACGTCCTGTCAACAAAGACAGATTCATAATTTCTAGTAAAGACGTGCTAACTTTTCCACCCTGAATATGATCACGGATCAATGATATCTACAGATTTCTTTACACTGTCCTGATCAGATCAGAATCAGAAGCCATTTATTGCCATATATGTTACATATAGAGGAATTTGACTTGGTGAATTGGCGCAATGTGAGAATAAAATAAGATAAACACATTGAATGTGTTAAATAGTGATGTGTCGTTCGTGTGCGAGAGATTTGTTCATTTTCTCGTGGCTGCGCATCGGCACTGTTGCATATGCTCAGTCAAGGAAACAGAAATGATTTGTTCCATTTCCCGACTGGGTTTTTGAGTCTTGGGACCCTCTTTTTTTTACGTGACCTGCATTGGTTTAGTAGAGGAAATTGTTACCTCATTCCCTAATTGCTCCCCGGGCAAAAATGTCAATAACCATAGGTTAAAATGCAATGTGATAAAAGCGTCAGCTAAATGACCTGTTATGTAAAATTTATGTATTTCTAAACTACAAAACCTTCTGCTTTGTTGTCCATCTGAGCATAGCATATCAGGGAATTTGTAGGAATACCGGGATATAAAAGACACTCTTATTAAGTGTTTAATGTTGCCTTTTCTAATTATAGGTGACCACAGAACTGACACATAAGAATAGTTTGCAAGGTAAAAATCAGCAAGAAGAAGAAGTGAGGACATCTCCAACATCCCAGATGGCCAATAGGAAGCCATCTGAGTTAGCAGCATCAGGCTACCGGTCTGATGATCAGGATATTCCAACAACAACCCAAAAGAAAGCAGAGAAAACGCCACCATATACAGCTCCAACTGTCCAAAAGGGAAATGATTTTTATGTGAAAATTTCTGATCAGATTAACAATGAGGTTGTTGGACAGATGAGCTCCCCAACCTTAGCAGAAAAGAAAGTCAAGTTTACAACAATTGTTACTCTACAAAAAGAAAATATTCAAGCTTCTGACAATGCAGGTTCTGACCGGACAAATGAAAAAGATAAAGAGGTACCAGCCGAGAAGAAGTCAAATGTGATGGTAGTATTAACTTTACAGAAAGAAAAGTCAGAAGACAGTTTGAAAGAGTTCCAGCAGGATGAATCCCTGAGCTCAGATCAGGGTCTAGGTCATTCTCCTGTCCTAAAAACTTCACCCAGCTTGACTTACAGCAGCAAGCAGAAGAACCAGGGGCCAACTCTGCAGATATTCAAGGAACAATCACAATACACCGAAGAAGGAAGTAGCCTGAGCCCCAATATTTGGGACGATGGAGGACCTCCACTACCTACAATTGGTCAAATCAACCCTAGAATCTCCGAGACTGTGACTCCACGAATGAGGACACAGTCCAGAGAGAAAAACGCAGCTGAAATGAGTGACGCTGACCTACAGGCCGTAGCTGGGAACAACAGTATTGGTGAACCCACTTCTCAGGGACATGACAACCAAGGATTCCAGGACAGTGATGACTCTGGTAAGAAACCTATTATTATAATCTTAAATGAGCCCAGGGACACTCAGTCCGCCTACAAGCGCCTGTCTACAATCTTGGAATGTGAGGGAGATCTTGATGGGATTCTCAATCCAGAAGATCTTATGGACAAAGAGAAGACAAAGCATGAAAAAAAGAAACCGAACGTAAGAGAAAATTGCATCAGTGAAATAAATACAGACTTTGACCGTGACAACATCAAAGGGAATGTTCAGGAATCTCAATATATGCACAATCAAAGACGTTCAGCAGATAATGTCTCAATTCCCAAAAACCAACACCATGAACTAGATTCCCTTAGACAGCAAGAGACCAAAAGAAAATTCAGATTTAAATTCCCCCAAAACAAACTTGCTGTAATTAGCCAAGCCATTCGTACAGGAATGACCAAAAGAGGAAAGAAAACTCTCGAGGTTGCTGTCTATGAGGAAGAGGAGGAAAATGCATCAGACAGTGGGTCAGTGAAGGAGACCAAGAAGCCAACAAAAGAGTGCCAAAGGTTTGAGACCAACAGTACCAAACAATTCAACTTATGTGAAGACAATACTATGGTCTCCGCTATAATTGATACCAGACACTCTAAGTCACAGAGCCGGGTAGAGGAGATCTGCAGTACTTTTGACTCTTTTGACAATCTTGAAGAGTCAATTAACCAGTTGGAAATCGGGGGGGACAATGTGTCTAGCCCCCGTTCTCCCTCCAGCATTGTGTCCTCACCTCTTCAGTACCCTGATTCCCACTTTGACTCCAGTGACAGAGCACTGCATGAAGGCAAAGTGAAACGAGAGAGGGAAAAAAGCCTGTCCAAGAGGCCAGCGTCTCAGATCCTTAAGGGCCCAAATCCACCTCAGAGTAAGAAGGCCAAGCCACAACCGTCACATGACTTGGGGAAAACCTCCACAAAGAAACATGTAAGAGCATACTTATCTTAATAATATGTGTTCATTGTCTTTATGAAAAATGTGTTGAAATACTCCTTTAAGTTATGTTACTCATGACGTCATAGCCAATATTCGTCAGTTGAGGTTAATCAGTTTGCGTAGCAATTCAGTTTTTGTGATCGTTTCCCGAGTTTAGCACTGAATGTTTCTTGTAACTAAGTTTGTTAAGTAAATCTTTTGAAACAGAGTTCCTGTCTATAAAGATTAATTACGCATCAAGCTCACAGCCCATACACAGGCTGTAACGGTAGTGGTAATAATGATTAACGTGGACGGAGGTAAGATTGCCGCTACACACAGGTCTGATGATACCGTGCTGGTGGTGGGCTCTCTCTGACTCTCTAACACATATGGGTTATTTAATCTGTCTTTGATGGCCAGGAGTCTATTTGTGTCAATGGTTTCTCTTTCTTAGTTATTTTTGCTCTTTAAAAATGACCAGTTATGCTTAAATAAATAAAACCAAGATTCAGCTAGTGTCCTAACCCATAACCAGGGCTATGGATAACTACAGTAAATGTGTGCTGAGACTGAACAAGGAACAACTTTGTGCTTTATTTTATCAGCACAAAATTGACGTTTGGGCTGTCTGTAATTATTTGCAACAATGGACCACTTCTATTTACCAGGAACTTTAGTTATGTTGGTCATTTCCCTGCATACACCTCCCTTCGATAAATTGTTGTCTTGTGATAAAGCCAAATGTTTTACTTAAGAGGAACATTTCCGGCTTTATTTACACATTTGCAAAACTCAAGTTCCTATGTGCTTGGAGGCAATTATGTCTTTGATCATGTTACTTAATATCATGTAATATTGTCTTGTATCTTCTCGAAGATACCTTACTGTTACTGCATCACTGTGGGTATGGTGTTCTTAGGGTAATTAGCAGTGTTATTCATAGGCCAGAGAAACCTTTTGAAATTATGGCCAAAACTGATATTGCCACATGCTTTTGGGAGACTTCATGTATGTTTTTGCTAAATTTAGCCGGGCTTGGATGTTTTTGTGGGTAAGAAAAGGCTTCCGTCTTGCCACCCTACCCCATAGCCCAGATTCTATGAAAGATGTGGGAGATGTCACAGTTGTCACATGTAGTACACAGCCAGTACTTGCTCTAGGCCTCTTGGATACTTGCCTGAACAGTTTCCTTCTCATCTTTTTATCAGTTTTTGAAGGACGTCCAATTCTTGGAAATGTCACTGTATTACACTTTTGAAACCTTCTTCTGACTGATTGCTGTAAGACACAACTAAGAATGTCAGGAAAAGCCTACTAGAACAGCCAAACATTATTTGTAATTAATCAGCACCACTTTAAACGAAGGCAGGTGTGTAGTGACTATTATTTAACATGAATTACATTACATACAATTTTATTCTATTTCAAATCTTTTAATGTATTTTGTATCCTGTTAATATCTGTCTTTCTTTTATGTTTCAATATATCAATGTTCTTAACTGTTTATAAATCTCCTTGCTTTATGTTTGGATGTTTTTAATGGTTTTATGTGAAGCACTTTGAATTGCCTTGTTGTTTCATTGTGCTATACAAATAAAATTGCCTTACCTTGCCTTGCATTGCGATGGGTTTGAATGTGATTCATTCTGAACATAGCCACATCCCCATTTATAAGAGGCTGTGCACACTTATGAATCCACATTATTTTAGTTTTAAGTTTTCCAATTGATTTGTTTAGGTCACATAAATGGTGGAAAAAGGGGTCATGATTTGTTTTGGTCTCATTTTTTTACAGCACAAAAAACTGGGATTTGGACAGTAGACTTTTTATATCTACTGTGTGCTCCCATGTGCTCCTGTGGTTGTCATAGTAGGCCTTTAATTTGCTGCTTGAAGCTCGAGGCTTTTGCCTGTTTTCTTGCAGCTGCTGTCATACAAATACGCTGTCTTGTTTATGCCTGTCCGTACAAACTAACTGTTGGTTTGTGTATCTTCTTGCTAGACCTCCGGCAGCAGCTCCAGCTCCTCTGCCCAGCGATCCCACACCAAATCTCGCCACTCTTCTTCCTCTTGCTCACCAGAGAAGATGCCTAAGGGCCACAAGCAGCCCCCCCAGAAGCAGCCCAGCCTGGTAAATGACCTCTGACAGACCTGAACGGAGCAGCTAGGAGTCACCATAGACTGAAGGGGAATTACAGTAATTCATATAGCAGGTTAGACAACCATTTACTTTTTAACTCAAACAAACACCTGTCTCAGAAAATATGTTTCAAAGTTCAATAATTGCACAACAAAAATCTGATATTGTGACAGCCCAACGGTGTGGACCTTTTTACTGTGGTCTCTGAATAAAGAAACACTTTTTCAATGTTTATTTTTCAAACCCAAAGGCACAGTTTATTAGACATTCACTTCTATGCAAATAGTTCTTTTTTTCCCGTTTTTTTCCAGAATCTGAACCCGTGCATCACTTTAACACTTTTTATGTCAGTTTGAAATAATTGTTTTGTGAGCAGTTGGTTGACAGTATTGAGACAACAGCTGCTCCTGCTGTTTTTCTTTTTTCAAAGTGCACTGCTAAGTTATGCCAGCAGAGGACAGTAGAGACACATAGTGTCCTCACACCTGTATTTTATTTTATATATAGCTGCACATCCTTTTTCTAGAAATCACAAAAACTCATATGTAGGCTCGTTATAATAATAGAAGTGATTGTAACAAAGAAATATCTGCAAAGTACGTTTTAAACTATTGAAAATATAAGATTGTAATGAAAGTTAGTATGCTTTCTGCGTGTCGTTTCTGTGATGGTGACTATAATGAGAAAAAACGTGTGGTTTTTAATGTGCTTTTAAAGATTTAATGCAATATATAAATTTCAGTTTTAAAAAGTTGATCAGAGCATCATGATGTGTTGCTAAATACGATTAAGATTTGCAGTGTAAACATAGAAAAAACTGTCACTTCAAAACTGAATTCATGGCAAATAAGTTATTTTACCCAAAATGTAATGAATGAATCATGTTGATAACCTTAAAACTGTAAGGACATTTGGACCTTTATTCTGTACAAATGGCATGTATTAAACCCTTACCATCCTGATAGAGTGCTCCTCTTTCCCAAACGTTTCTTTCTTTTGGGGGGTTGGGGGTTCCTGTACTGATGTGGGAGTTCTGGGACAGAGGATGTTGCATGTACTGCTCTCCTTGTGCGTGTAGGTTTGTACACAATTCAGCAGTCAGTAAAACTCCATTCGAAAAGAATACGGGAGTTAGGGTGTATTGTCCAATTTTGTAGCACTGACTTATACAAATTCAAATTGGATTAAAAAGACTATTCTTTCAAAGGCTTTAAAACGTGAACAGGAACGTGATTTATCTGAGACTATCGAAAACAACGAGGCATGCAGCGAACTTCCAGGCTCCGGATCAAAATGCATGCCAACTAAAAGTGAATTACTTACACGACCCAAAATGCCCAAAAGGAGGCGCCAACTCCCCAGTCCCGAGGGCAGAACACTCCCCGCCTGGTATCTGTAAAGATGCCATATATAGATACAGGACAACAATACAAAAGTCTCAGTCCTACTTCTTCTTCAGAAGAAGAATCTCAGACACACGCCTGAGGAATATCTTGCTTGATCCCTGCTTGGTCACTTTGAGTTCTATCTTGCTGACTTTTCCATCCTCACTGAGAAAGGTGCTTGTAACAAGTGCCATAGGCCAGTTGTTACGGGCTGCTTTGCTGTTTTTCAGTAGAACAACGTCCCCGGTTTCAATGTTTGGGCATGACTCCAGCCATTTGGGACGAACTTGCAGTGTCTGCAGATACTCTTGCTTTCAGCGAGTCCGAAACTGGTTAAACTTTGGAGTTGACGCCTCTGCTGTTCTCTGTGAACTTTCCTGGTGGAGGTGATACACTCTGCTTCTGAGTCAGAAGCATTGATGGAGTAAGTATGACTGGTGATTCTGGATCAGCAGAAACCGGAACCAGAGGCCTAGAATTGATGATCCCTGTCTCTTCAGCCATAAGAGTGCACAGAACCTTGTGAGAAAGGTTGAAGGAGTCTGCCCGCATAAGCATTGAATCCAAGATTCTGCGTGCCACTCCGATCATGCGCTTCCATGCGCCATCCATGTGTTAAGAGTGCGGAGGGTTAAAGTTCCATGTGCAACTGTGACTGTTGACGTACGTCTGAACCTTCGACTCCTCCATTACTTTCTGGAATCCAAGTTCATTGCAGGCACCAACAAAGTTTGTTCCGCAGTCAGAATGCATCTGTTTGCAGGGCCCACGAATGGCAAAAAACCTTCAGAGAGCGTTAATGCACGATGAAGCATCCATAGACTCAATCACTTCTATGTGGACAGCATGAGTACTCAAGCAAGTGAAGAGTACTGCCCAACGCTTATTAAGGACTGTTCCTCCTCTACTGCGCCTTGCATGGTCCGAAATTTATTTCTCGCATTTCTCTTGTGGGAGTGGAGCGTCCCAGTCATTTACTTCCATCGACATGTCTCTTCAACTTTCCTTGAATGGTGACAGGAGCAACAAATCCCAGAGGATCAAAGAGGCTGTTTATTGCCGAGAGAACTCCCCGTCGTGTGATGGGTTTGTTGCCGAGAGAAGCCTGGAAAGTTATTCCCCTAGTCTCCCTAGATCGTAGTTCCTTCTAGACCCTGGTCCTGACACCTGCCGTGGCCCCCCCAACATTACCCTCTCCTAAAGTCTTTGTGCTCTCCCTCCCCACAGGCTTCTGTGGATGGTGGTTCTATGTGATGGTGATTCTATGTGATGGTGGTTCTATCTGATGGTGGTTGCCCCTGCAGTGGTCCTGCTGTGCGCCTGGCTTACTACTCACAATTACTTGAATAATTTCTGTTATAGGAATTGAATGTATTTTACATTGTTCATTCTGTATACATGGCATCCATTGTAGTCTGTCCATCCCGGGAGTGGGATCCCTCCTCTGACGTTCTCCCTAAGGTTTCTTTTTTCCCTCTTTTCCCTCATTTTTGAGGAGTTTTTCCTGTGTTCGGGACAGAGGATTTCATATGTGTACAGACTGTAAAGCCTTCTGAGGCAAATTTGTTATTTGCGGGCTATACAAAATAAAATTGAATTGAATTATTGTCTCGGTAGCAACTTCCCAGCATAAATCGAGGCTGCCTGCACTGTGTGGTTTCTCCTCCCATGTCGATGTCCTTGAGTTTTACTACATGGTCCTCTGCTGGAAACGCTGTCAGGACATCCATGCTATGCAATCTTATGCAGCCTCAGGTTTGGCTCTGAGAGCGAAGCTTGTGTTCCCTTCAGCAGGCTAATTACTTCCTTTTCAGTAGCCAAAGAGATTAGTCCGTCATCGACAGAACTCGCGTTCAACAAAGCGTCCGGTGTCTGGACCATGTTGTTCTGCTACTTTCATAGTAGCCCTTCTAATGCTACATTCACACCCAACGCCTCAAATTTGTAAAATAACACATGACGCTGACGCTTTTATCCAAGGCGACTTACAATAAGTGCATTTGAACAACCATAAGGATACAAACTCAGAAGAACAACGGTGTGCAGTGCCACAGTATTGACATGGCTGGATGTGGCACCTGGAGCAACGCCTTATTGCTCCTTTTGTGTTTCATCAACAGACCCCCCAAAAAAGTCAAATGCTGCCCTACAGCATAACTATCATTTTTTCTTTTTCTTTTCAATGTAGAGGTTTTGGGATGTCCAAAACCTTTACACACCAGATGTGCAAAGCTGGTGGAGACACAGCCCAAAAGACTTGCAGCTGTAATTTCAGCAAAAGGGGTTTATACCAAGTATTGACATGAGTTGGTGTTCTCATAATTGTTTGTGTCACCAAAAAAGGTATTTTGCACCTTCAAAGTACCATGCATGTTGTGCTGATAAAATTAGAAAAAGTCAATTAAAGTCTATTTGAATTCCAATTTTTAACTGTACAAATATGAAAAAGTATACATATAGCCAAAGCTTATATAAATATATCTATGTGTACGTATATATACATGTATTACATATATATACATATAAGTATTTACCCCCTTGGCATTTTTCACATTGTACTGTTACAAACTGGAATTCATTCTCTGTCCAAGCTTTTGACTAGTACGGCAAATAAATATTTGCAATATATTGTGTTATGTGGTGTCATATATTCAATTTGTTTTATTTTCTATTGCCCAAAATCACAATTTACAATTCAGCCTCATTATGTTATGTTAACGCAGGACTGCATGCATCCATTTTTCAATGATGACCTCCACTGCAGTGCCCCAGAGCAAGGCACTAAATCAGCTGCTCCAGTGGATTGGCTCAGAGTTTTGTACAGTGTATCTTGTTCACCTCATGAAGGTGAAAAGTCTACTTCTGTTCCTGCTTTGTCTGAAACAATGAATTTATCTTAGTCTCCTTTTCAAAAGTTTAATGAGATAGCCCATCTTTGTAATTGGCTGAATTACTAGTCATTAGTTCCATCATATGCTAATTAGCTCACATGCTAATTAGCTCATATGTAAATTGCTGGGACGGATGAATCCCAGTGCCCGTCTCTGTGTAATTAGTCTGTAATTCCTCTGCATCCTGTAGAAGCCTGGGGCAGGACAAAAGTGTGTCTGATGCAAGGGACTGGGGACTAATTAGAAATACATTTCATGAAGTATTCTACAGTAATTACAACATTTTCTGTGTCCCAATACTTTTTAATTTCTTCTCACAACTGGGCTGCGTCAGAGGAGGACATCACAAACCAACAAGGAGCCTGACTGCTGCTTAATCAAAGATGTGCTTCCTTATTTGCATTTCTAATTGGAATTAATTAGGATCACACAAACAGTGTATGTGTGTGTGTGTGTGTGTGTGTCTGTACGTGTGTTTTCTCTGTACTTGTGAGATGTTCTTGCTTATGTTGATTTCTTCATTCAGCTGATGATGTCCTTATAAACAGTGCACCAGGAGCAGGACATCTGGGGTGAATCAGCAGCTTCCAACAGCAACATTCTACACTCTGTGATGCGTAATGTCTGAATATCTCAGGCTGGCCATTAACTTAAGCATTGTTTAAACTGTTTCATGGTTTCCTTTCTTTCACTGAAAGAAACGTGTTTTTGAAGCAGTTATTAGGGCCCTCGCACCTACAATGTAAATAATTCAATTATTGTTATTCATTTAGCCAACTAAAAGTCAGGTGAAAGCCCTATTGTTATTATTATTATTCTATACGTTTTTGGGGTTTTACTGCCATTTTGAATTTTGTAATAAAAACACTTTTTCCCCACTGCACCTAAACGCTGAGTGAGATCCTCACAAAATTGTCTGTGGATCATTATCGGTTCAATGTCATAAAAACCTTGTGTTTAGAAGACAGACAAATTAACTTCTAAGGGGTGTGGCTTAATATGTCAAGATACACAACTTCCAAATCACTTCCAAACCTTGCAAATTTCCAACTTCCAAATTTCTAGTATGAGTCCACATTGCATCCCCAAAATCTACCCTAATCTTTAGATAATATTTAAACACAGGGAGCGCTGTTGGACATTTGGACAGTGTTGAATCTTTGGACCTTTTCATATAAAAATCATATAAAAGATTGAAAAAATATTGTACTGTGAGGGGATTATTAGCTTCATTTTCGCCTCACAGCAAGAATGTCCTGGGTTCGACTACACCCAGTGTCATAGCACAAAAAAAACTCAGGAAATGTGAACATAGGACCATCTCCAAAGGGAAAATTGTACATGCAGTGCTGTAGGAATTACCATTGCCTTATATGGTGGAGCGATGGAAACTGACATTGTCCCAAACTATCATGTACTTACTGGCAGGTCATCTCCAATCTGACCCTCTCCTGTTCAGGGATGAATCCCTGTAGCGTGTGTAAAAAAGATGACAAGGCGCCCTGTAATGGTTTGGCCCAATAATGTGTGCACAGTGTGGCTCATCAGGAACACGCGTGTGTCCTCGGACTCCTCTGCCTCTTCCTGTGTTTTGCCTCCCAACTTCTCCGCCACGCAGCCTCACTCCTCTTCCTCTTCTTCTTCTCCCTCGACCCCGTCAGATTCCTTGTCCTTCCATTGTCAGACATTGC